CTCATTATTTCATAAAGCAAATATTATAATCACTATTTTTAATCATTTTCACAAGTTGAATATATTTAATAATAGCATTCAAGAAGATTTTGTGACTTTTAATTAATTTTGTGTCTCTCATGGAAATACTATGGTTTACAGTGCATATGTAACTACAGTGAAATAAAATACATATAACCCACTAATAAAGGTATCCTGGTCATCTACTGATCAAAATTAGTTATTTTCATGGTACCCTGTTATTTGTTTTCATTTAGTTGCATGGTTTTTTGTTCAAACACATTTGCAGTGAAATATTACATGTTGCATTATGGGTAGTATGTGTATAAATGATGACATTGATGGCTGTGTTGATGAAAATAGGAGCTTTGAAATTTATTAATTGACAAAGATAGTACAGAGCAGGATTTTATCATATCCCTGATAATGTTAGCCTAAATTAATTTAGAAGAGGTTAAAAACAAAAACAAAATTACAGTGAGCAATTTTATTATTATTTTTTTTTGTCTGGTGCAAATGTGATTTATGTACAGTGTAGGAAGAGGGTCGGCAAGGGGTATTTTCGTTAGCTGTAATCAATTGTTTTTATTTTCGTAATAATGTAATTCAAATAAATAAAATGTAATTTTAATTTTTTCTTCCGTAATTCCTACAAAGATCTTATTTTTTGTAAGTGTATAAAGCATTTTTCACATTAAATTTTGTAATTCATACAAAATTACAAACTTGTAATTGCTCTTTCGGAAGCCCGGTGTCATGCTAAAAATTGTCCGTGTGCTAAATCTTCCGGTTGAGATCGTTGCACATGCGCAGTGAAGTTCTTGAATTTTTCTGTGGTTTAGTGGATTCTCATAAATAATGTGCATTGTTCAATGAAAACAAGTGTTTTGCTGTTAATTGGTGCATCAACGGCAGAGAGCTAAGTTGTTAAGTGTATCTCAAATGTAGAAACTATTTTTGAGATAGTGAATGGTGGCCGACATCCACCCACCATATATTTCATACATATTACAATTATCTTATTGAAATTATCTGTTGTTGGAAGTCACGAGATTCTCTGAAATACTGATCCTAATAAATAAATAAATAAATAAATAAATAAATAAATAAATAAATAAATAAATAAATAAATAAATAAATAAATAAATAAATAAATAAATAAAGGCCCTTTCGCAGAAACTATCAGTAAATACAAAACAAAATACAACAATCGAGCAAAATCACAAGCACCTCTGTTTGTGCATATCTATTGTTTTACAAGAATAAATGTGAAAAAGTTGTCTCTTCTAATTCCCTTCTATTAATTAATGATTCTACAAACATCTCAAGAATGACCACATATCATTTTTATTTATTAAACATGAAAAAAATAATTGTTAGGAATTGAGAATAGATTATTGTCACAAAAATATTTAACAGAGATTAACCCAAGATACCTACATAACATGTATCAAATCAGTATAGTTTTTAAAAGAAGTCATTGAAAATAGCAGTTTTGACCAAACTGACCCCAAATATTCACAAAAATACAATACTAAAGTATCAAAACACTCAGGCTACTGGTTTTAAAGAAGATGCAAATGCACTTGTTGAAGAACGAACGACAATTAATCAGTAATCCGTTGCTGTGCAAAGTCGCACAGACAAAACTTGTTATAATTTATACAAATATATTAATATACAATTGTATAATTTCAGTAACTTTAAGCTTAAGAGCTAATCCTTACAATATACCATGATGATTATTGTTTTGACTTGTATAAAATATTTCTGTTTTATCAGACATTTTTACCTTGCCCGTACCATCAAAGATGGAAGGGAAAGGTATATTAAGGGAAAGATTTTGTCCGGCGTTGTCGTCGTCGTTGTCGTCGTCGTCGTCGTCGTCGTTAATAATTGTTATTGTGTGCATGATAACTTTACTAATTCTATTCCAAACTTCATCAAACTTGGTCACCTTGTTCATCAGTATAAAGTCTTCCCTGAGTTTGAACAACAGATGTCCTGTATGAAAATATCAAGCAAAAATTGAGAAAAACTGATAAAATATTTCGACTGTTTCTACTTGACTGATCACTGGTGATACACATCAAAGGTCACTGATCTCAGTGGAAATATGCATTGTTGTATGTGTTCAATGAAGCAAATGTTTTATCTTGTAATAATATCCTTGGTAATGTATCTCAGAATCCCTTACTGGGTTTCAAAACCAACTCATAGAGAGATTGCACAGTCTGATACACATTTGCAAACCTACCAATAAATCTTTACAGAAAACAAGATGTCAGAAAATCAATATAAGCACTGCTATGAACTGGGTGCCAAACTTTGATCAAGATCTGAAGCTAATAAAAAATCTGTTTAGTTCAAAGTTATCAAATCAAAAACAATACATAAAAAATACATAAAAAGCAAAACATTTCATCCACATTTTATAAAGAAAATTGTTCTAAAATATATGTATTCTGTATTTGACAAACAGTTCATTCGACAAATGAAAACTCACAGGAATATGTTTCAGCTATTAGAACAGAATGATAGAGTTTTTATAATACAGTCCTAGTTTAAAAACTCACTTCAAAGAAAGATTGCAGTGTTTGAAGATGTAGATTCTCAGGAGGCAACAGTACTGTTGACTTCTCCCTCCACTGGACACCAACTAACTATTTAAAGCAGAGCTTGCAACATGATAGCTATTCATAAAGGGTGTTTTTTTTTTTTACTTTTCATATAATACAGTAGTCACACAATGAGGCAGTTCATATTTGTCTCAGTGAATCATTAATTTTTGACAGACACCTGTACAAAATACTTGGACAAAAGCCAGCTAAGATTTTCTGTTATCTTGCATGTTTTATGAATCTATTCACGTCTAAATGCAGCACTTTTTTTTGCAATGAGGCATTTGTTTTTATACTAAAATATCTGAATTACTTTGAATAAAGCTGGAAATTATGTCCCTTAAAATAATTAAACAAATAAGGCACCAATGTTTTTGTAAGATATTTACATCTTTAAAGGACATTCGGTAGACTGATTCCCCACTGTTAGTTCAACCCCAAAACTTTTTTGTATTCAAAATTAATTATGACAATGTATATTTATATTGAAACAAACTATGTTTATAAAGGGAATTATATTATATAACAAAGGGCAAGGTCACCATAGTTCAACTATGTTTTAAAATAATTTGTCACTATATAACTTGTCAAAAGTTACCTCCTTTATCTTCTGTATCTGTACAGATTATACATGTCATGATCATTTGCATATTTAATTTGTTTGCTTATTTGCTAAAGTAATGAGTCATTTACATTCGAAGTTAACTCGATGTTCCCAAATTGTCCGACTTTTACAATGACATGTTCCCAATATTATCTACACATTATTTAATGCGCCCACCCTCCGGAAAAACAAATATCTGTCGATGTTTGATTTTGTATAGCACATCCACTGAAGTCTTCATGGATCTGTGACTATTTCGTCCCCAGGTAAAAAAGTGGGCGTGTCATTGTACTCGAATTCATGCTGTGTTCCAACGAAACTTTATGAAAGGAAAGGCAAGTGATAATCATGAATGAATATCTACATAAACACAGTATACACATAGTTCATAATTAACTGTATCTGTATTTTAGCATGTTGTAATCCAGTTCAATAACAAATATAAAACGTACCTCTCTGGTTATCACCCCTGGTTAACCCCGGTCACTTGCTCAGTTCAAAGTGCGTAAACCAAGGGGGTGACACGTTTTAAAATGTTGTGTTTAAGTAGACTGTAAAAATGCTTTGTTTTATCAGTATGGCTAGAAACAAATTTATAATATCTTGGGGAAATCTACAATGATATAGTTTGCTGTAGATGGTAATGCAGACACGATACAGTGGACGTGTTTTATCAATTACATACGTGTACATGTAAGTACGTTTCTTACATTGTGTGTGTGCCCCCCGTTATGAAAAAGATTGATCAGCTGTGTGACAAAAGTCATCAGTGCCAAAATTGGCGACTGCAGTCTACTGTGACGAAAAACAATGCCCCAAGAAGAGACACATGCTAAACGGAAGAAGAATGAAGATCAGGCTGTCACGAACTTCAGGGAGTATCTCAGGATAAAGACAGTTCACCCAGATGCTGATTACGGTAAGAGCATGTCACTGTGGCAGTACATTACAAACAAATAATCATACGATCAACAGACACGCCATATTAAAGTCCAGCCAGTGTTCGAAATTAACTGAAAATCATAAAAGGCCCGAAGGACCTATGTCAAATTGAAACTGTAGGTCCTTCGAGCTCACTGTAGGCCCTGATATTTAACAAACAAAGACTTAACGGATAATACAAGCTTGCAATTGCAAAACCTTTATTTACTAATTAATCAGATGTATTATCTGCTGCCTCAAAGAGGTCATCATTTCTTTCATCGTCACTAAACTCATCAAAATCTTCAGAAAAAACACTGACATGATCACTGGCCGACTCTGAATCTGACATGCATTTTGCATCGTGTTCACAATCATTGGCGTCAGCCTCAGCTTCAAGGATCAATTCTGCTGCACGATCCTCGACAAGGCCGGCAATACATCACCTTGTTGATGTTATCAAAAAGTAACCAGTCTTTGAACTCCGCCTGCCAGCTAATTTGGAATGTGCGTGGTTTACGCCGAAACCGTTCGTAGTTTTCAGCGTGTTTGATGCAAATCAAAGATGGCGGAACATAAAATGTAAGCGCGATTTCTATTGGTTTGAATCGGAGGCTTGATCGGCCTACAACCAATCAGATCGTTTGTTACAGTTCCCATGTTCGGCGCATTTCGCGATCATTCGGCAAGCTTGAATTATGACTCGTATGCCCAGGTCGATTAGTGATGCCATTTGTTGATCAAACGTGCAAGAAAACGCAATTTTGAAACAATTCTGGAGTTACTATCGATATTTATTATATATTTGGTCTTACAATCATACTAAATAATGGAACGTTTTTTTTTTAAATATAAATTTATGGTCGGTCACAAGGACTGATGGTTTTTCACAGCTCTAGGCCCTTTACACCCACTGTCGGCGTGAGGCCGACGGACCGACGTTAATTTCGAACACTGAGTCCAGCTGTAAGTGCTGTGTATATTGGTGTGTACTTTTATTGTACAGTATTTAGTGTTTTATGAACTCTCTGAACGGCATTATAACCTTTCCCAAACTAAATCTGATTTTGTTGTACTAATTAATGTACGTCTTGGTTGTTTCTTCAAGCTTGTATATTACTTTCTGCCCCTTCTGTATTTGTATGCATTACCCATCTCAGTATATGTGTGAGATAAGAATATACAAAAATCAAGCTGAAACCCTTTGTGTCAGCAAAATGCAGGAAATGGCATTTCAGGGGGTCTAGATTTCAGATCTCGCCCCCTCATGCAAAATTTCGTGCCACCCCCTCTGTATGTAACTATAAGTTGGTGCAGCAGTTTTCAAGCAATTTTTCGACAATGTAAAAAATGCAATAATACGATCTACAGGTGTTTCAGTTTATATTAATATTTTTCTGCCATTTTTATTTTTGCAATAATTTACAGTGTGGCTTGATTTCGTCTTAATATTTTGTCTGTAAATGTGATCAAATGGGTTCACAAAGGTGAATCCATAGCTTGATGATAAATCGAGATCAAAATAAATTTTGCAATGTGTATTGTGTATATTTTGTATAAATATTCACCAGCTTAGCAATATTTTTTGAGTTCTCTTGAACATATAATATATTTAAATTTGGATATCGTGATATGCAAAATTATTATACATCTAGCACTAAAAACAATAGAATTTGCTGTTTTGTAAAGACCTGTCTTGGCATTCATTACAAACAGGTAAAAGATGTATACTAATAAGGTTATCACGAGAATACCAGAAAGTATGCACTCAGGCAGTTCAGGTTGCATCAAGTCCATGACACTTTGATCGATGCGATCAACATATATTTTTGCATGACTAGCATTTATTGTGTTTCTCATATCGTGGCCAAGCAATATTTTTGTGAGTTTTCAAGTGGTTGTCAGAGACAACCAAATTAAAAAATAGCAATTCACAGACATCCTCTACTTTATTTTCAGATGGAGCCATACAATTTCTTGAACGTATGGCAAAAGAACTGGAGCTACCGTTTAAGTGCATTGAAGTTCATCCTGGAAAACCAGTTGGTATAATAACATGGAATGGAAAGAATCCATCTCTTCCTTCTTTGATGTTAAATTCTCATATGGATGTGGTGCCTGTATTCCAGGTATTGACTTAGTTGGACTTATTATGTCAATCATGATACATGTATGTGTAAAGGACAGTGACTGCTGTGCTCAATACTGGGTCCTATCATAGACCCTCCAGTAGTCTGAGGGTCTATGGTCCTATACAATGTATACAATTTGTTTGTTTGCACAATATTTGAGCATGTGATAATCATCATTGGATAATCACCACCGTCCTTTAAGGTAGGGAGACTATTATTTGTGTTGAAAATTACGATTTTCACATTTATTTATTAATTGATGAAATGCACCATAAACTTTCATATGATAAAGTCAATATAACATAGAATGTCATGTAAGTTGGTTAAAATGTAGATTTTTGAAGGGAAGCAAGGCAGCCTCAGTAGTGTTTTCCAAAATCAACAACACAGGTTTAATTTGTGTGCCTATAAGTTTCAAAGATAAACTCAAGACAA